TGCAGCTGGTTCTTTTCAAGGTGGAGGGAGGGGGTGGGAGGAGGAGATGGTGTGGGGAGGGGGGAGGGGGGGGGAGGTTGAGTGGATGGAATCGGCGGTTTGACATATTTGAAGGCGACACTTCGACGAGTTCAGTCGTCTAGACGCAATGTATGCCTCAAAAAAAGGCCCAACGTGTTCTCCCGTGTTTTGGAAATGCAATTAGTACCTCGTCGGAGGGAATTTAAAAATACAAAACCAACTCACAACCTCTAGACAATATACATTTTAACGAGACGTGGGTGGCTGAGTGGAAGGGGGGGGGTGGTTTGATAGGAAGTATAATATTGATGACCGTGTCCTTTGTGACTACCAGGGTTGGTTATAACTCACTTCTTTAACGTGGGAATTAGTTAATTATCTCTTAAGATTAATGTGCTGTCATTTCTCATCACCCCGAAAAAAGTGATAATTATTTAAAGCGCAATACAATTGCAATGAGACGGTAGTAACTTCTCAGAATGCATCAAATGACTAGTAACTAAACTTGAAAGAGGTGTGAATGTCGTTTGATGTATTGAACATAGAAGTGGGTGTGTAAGGAGAGTGAGAGAAATCATTTCATAATCTTCTATCACTGAAAAACATTTAATTCAAACGCCTCACTTATGGGATCTTCCATATTCTTTGTCACAGTCAAGTCAACTTTTTTTCGCGTCAAGTTGTTACCTATATTGGCGAAAAGTTGAACTTATTTGCATAGTAACTTAAGCCAAAAATCTTTACATTTGGGGTCGCCAACTTAAAATCCGATAACGTGTTTGTTCATCGTTTAAATCCGGATCGTATATGTGACCGAAGTGTGACCTCAACTTACCATGCTGTGGATTGCACCCTCTCCACTGATTTGGCCGATTAGAAATCAACTTTGTTCCATTTTTGGACAGTCGGGGTAGGCGGAGGGGGGGGGTATACTTTTTAATGGCTGATATGAGAGCTGCATCAGATTGGCCAAGTACTCGTAGTGAGTACGTCTGGTTGGTTTGTCACACGAAGTAGATTGGCTAGAGTGAAGCAAAAGCTCCTCCTTAGGATCATTAATTAATACGGAAGTAAAATGCCATATACATTGTCAGAGTGAAGGGATGTACATAGCTGTGGCCATGGAGGGAGGAATTTTCTGTAATGTGGTGTGACTGAGGATAGGATTTCTAGCACATTAAATCCCCGTTTAACTTTTGCAACTTAGCAAAAAACAGGACAATACTACGCTCAAGGACTCATCAGTGGGAATGAATTATCTGCGATGCTCGCCTGAAGTTCGTCGCTTCTGTGTTCTTTACTCAAATTTCCTTGAAGTGGTGATTAATGACTTAGAGATGGGTATCGACATTGATGGTAGTTCTAATTATGGAAGCCTCATTAAACTAATGACGTTCAAGGCATCTTGACCGATATGCCTTAGTTATGCCTTTGTGTCTCCAGTTCGCAAGAAGACCTGGAGTAGATTTTCGCTTGCCATGCATCTACAACATTGTAGTCCTAAAATTAGCCCTATTGTAAACGTTTAACAGTCTTAACACTACTTGACATCCTTGATAGAAAATAAATAATATTGATCGCTATTTTAGGAACAAACCAATTAGAGTTATTGGAACACCTCCGAAATCACTATCCCTATCACTGTGACTTATGTGATTATGCTTCACGCACGCAAGGCCGACTACGTCATCACAAAGCCGCATTCCACTCCGAGATCCAACCTAAAAATTATTCTGGTAAATCTTCTAACCGACCTACCAAAAGTGGGAGGACCTACAAATGTAAAGATTGCGACTTTTCCGCTCAGGATAAAGTAAGCACTTCTGATATTAACATTAATCGTGTGTTAAACTCAATTAGATAAAGCTACATTAAACACACACATGGCTTAATTAAATTCGAGCATTTAATCAAATCTTACGCATTGGTAATCAGTCTTGATATCTAAGTGAATCATACTTAGGGCGGGCCGGGGGGGATCGAGATGGGGGTGAAGACGCGGGACCAGCTGTTTATTTTTACTTATCCGACAAAAATTCCCCTTTTTTTTGACCTCAACCAAAGGGAAGCGGAGGTCGAGGGAGGGAGGAGAGGGGGGGGGGATTTGGATATTTCAGTAATCCAGAGCCACTGGGAGAGCTTATTTCACGTAATAGAGAGAGCGAGAAGAAGGGAGGGAGGGAGAGGGTGGACAGGTGTTCACTGGCTTCATTCATGTAATTAGTCATATGGACAAAGTTAAGTCGTGCGCTTGTTTGACTTTCGTCACTGTGTGCCATGGTGACAACCAGAAGTTGATTCTCATTTTGGATTTAACCATATCTTGCAATGTGGTGCTAAGAATTTAAATGATTGGCTAATTCTCTCTAAAAGTTTTGAAAAACACTGACACGAGTATGGCGTCGCGGAGCTTCTCGGAGTTGGAAACTTGTCACTTAGGAATTCTGGTGCCATTGAATCGCTGTCCAATGCATTAGCAGACGTCTGCGTAAACTACTGTGCCCTTGTGAGCTCCTTACAATTAACTTGTTGATAGTAAGGAGAGGGTGGAAGAAGGAATAGGCTGTTCTTATCGAAAGTTTTATGATATTTTTTTCGTTTACATTTTCTTTTAGCCTGATCTATGGAGGCATATAAGAGTGCATATGAAACCTGAACGGATGTTGGAATGTTCATTTTGCCCATTTGTTACTGAACTTGCGCACCACTTCGATTATCACATGAAAAATCACTCTGGAAAGAAACCATTTGAATGCGATAAATGCAACTACAGATGTGTGAATAAGTCAATGTTGAATAGCCACCGCAAATCCCATTCAAATATATACCAATATCGTTGTACGGAGTGTAGGTATGCATCCAAGTATCTCCACAGTCTTAAGCTACATCTTCTCAAACATGAAAACGCAGTTGCTGTAGTATTGAATGCTGATGGAAGCCTACCGGCGAATGCGGTTCCTTCGCCAGCTCAGCCCCGAGGGAATAATCAACAAACACCTCAACTTCTTCCTCCCCTTTCGTCCAACGTTCCACCCTTTCTACCTTTTCAATTCAATCCATTATCGATGCCCCCGGCTTCTCATAGTCCGATGACACCATCTCTTGGTTTTCCTCCTGGAATATTTCCACCATTTCCTCCTCCTCCTCCCAACCTAACACTAAAACATGGTTCTATCCAAACTCCCGTTTTCAACAATTTGTTATCTGGCCTATTTTCGGAATCTCAACCACAAATCACGCCTTCTTCCTCTGCTCAATTGGATGAAACGCCGCTTGATCTTTCGGCTCCAAAAGGTTCAACAATTGAAACTGAAGAAAGGGAATCAGTAAAACCCAGTGAATATGGTTGCAGTTTATGCTCCATTCAACTCCCAGATAGTCAATCTGCTTCCAAACATCTGGCACTTCATGATCCCAGTGATCCGACCCGGTGTAGATCTTGCGGATTCCGGTGCGATCCCCCAGTCACTTTAAATAATCACCTAAAAGATTCCAAAAAGTGTTCTGAATGAATACTCCGCCCCTCCCCTCATCTTTTGCATTTAGACTGTATATAATGAATTTAGAATACAATTCGTAGTATATTTGACGGGAGAATCAATCGTCGTTCTTTCGCTTTCGAATGGTCCAATTTTGGAGTTCCGGCTTTACTATATAGATTTATGAGTAGACACTGCCTATTTAGCTTTGAGTAATAGTTTTAAATCGAATTTTCTTTGGGTTGACTTTGCACCAACTTTTCTCTTGTCCATTTTGGTATTTTATGACTAAAGGCAGTTCTGGTGTATGATAGTACGGGTACTTTTCACCTTAATTCGTATGTACTTCAATTATAATGGGTTTCTAAGCTGGGACATCGAAAATTGCTGACGTGGTGACTTTTGTATTAATAAGACAAATGAGTGCAAATCTCCGAAGATTCAAATTTCGCTATCATAGAATTCCTATTTGTGCCAAAAATCACCTGAGATTAGAATTTGATTCTCTGAGAGCTTTTGAATGCGTCAGTAATGCGACTAAATCCAACTGAAAATATTGGGAATAGCATAATAATGCCTGTTGCAAAACAGTGTTAATTAAAAGTCGTCTTTATGACCTGATTGAGATATCTCCTTTCAAGCTCTGGGTTTTTTAGAAAGTCCACTCATCTGAATATATATCTTCTTCTTCTTAGGCGAACAATTTTACTTCTGTATTATCGCCCATGGATGCTTATTAGGGTGGGCCATTATCTGGTTCCAAAAATAGTTTCATGAAATGGAATTCTCCGTTTAACCGCCCTGGGCGACTTTCGGGAAACGCGGTATATTAGAATCCAAATCTGATGAACAGGAGTTGGGAGAGTTCAGTGGTGTATTAGGCGATTGCAGAGAGGTGTTTGGGGGATCGATGGGCGCATATCTGAAGTGCATGTGGAGAAGTGCACTTGTAAGTCAAAGGTAGAATAAAGAGCTCTTAATCAGGGCATCAGTTTTGACTCCTTGGTGGTCCACTGTTTGGGTTAAGAAAATGTATGCGTCATCGTGTGACGGCTTTCATCCCTGATAGCGCAAAGAGCATAGCTTATTTTTCTGGAAGCGGAGTGTGCGATAGACTTGCCTCCACGTGGTGCAGTCTGGGCAACGTATACTCATACGACAGTCTATAAACCGGCAGTTGACTTCTGATTTCAAACTACAATGACCCCACTTTATGTCATATTCGACCACTTCCGCAGTACTCATCTCACCTGTATGCCTGTCTGTCTCTTCTACACCTGTGCATCACTCTTCCGTTCTCCCTCTCGACTTTATGTGACTTTGCTGTTCCTCTCCTCTGTGAAGCCCGAAATCAGCTAGAGGGCTAATGATAATGATCAAAACACCTGCCATTTGAAATAAATAAACTTTTCTGGAAGTAATCACGCACAAATTATTAACTAATGAAGCCCTAAGGGAATGTAAAATGCCACAACGTCTGAAAACAGGAAGGTCATAGGTGCTAGAATAAACTTAGAACTGGGGAACTAGAGCGCGATCTGAAATTCGCAATTCACTTCTCGCTTTGTTATCTTTGGTGCACTGTATGCATGAGAAATTTTTACTGGTAAATTGATTTAATAAAAGGTCAGTTACACAGAATGGAAAGTCACATTTTGCCACATTTTCTAGGCAAACATGTATTAGGTATTTACTCTTGGATAAGTATTTCTGCCGAAATTCGGTTTCTTTTATTTCATTCTACAAATAAATTTTGGGGCAAATTTTTTGAGTATTCGAAAAATGTCATGTAATTATAAAGTTGAATTAATTGTTTATTTTATTGGGATAACATGTGTTTGATAGTTCTTTTAAACGGTCAGTCAGAAGGCCATTGATTCGAATTAGCCTAGTTTATGAAAATATAAAAACACTTTTTGACCTAATTCTTGAATGTTTATTTATTTATAGCAAATGACAGGCGTTTTGATAGTTATCGTTAGCCTTTTAGTTAACTTCGGGCTTCACAGAGGGGAAGGAACAGACAGAGTCACAAAAAGTGAGTTGGGGTGGGGGTGGGGACAGAATAGTGATTCGCAGATGTTAAAGAGATAGACAGACACAAAAGCAGAGAAACGGTAAAGTGAGTACTGTGAAAGTTGTCGAATCTGCCATGCAGTGGGGCCATGGTGGTTTGTAGTCAGACTTTTTCGCCGTATGAGTATATTTTGCCTAGTGTGCACCACTTGGAGACAAGTCTATCGCGCATCCAAATCCTTGAAAGTAATTAAGCCCAAAATGGAGCCAGTTGGTAGCTCTTAATATAAAATTGGAAGGCTATTATATGGATTTTCATATTTTTCAAATCGTTCACACACGTCTGTAAGCAAGGATACAATTTGAAAGATATATCTAACTCGGCAAGAACTTATACTTCAAAATGAAATTGAGCAGCGGTAACAGACGATCAATATTGACCCAATAAGATGAAATTTCTAAACCTGTCAAAAATCCGATCGGCGATCTGCTCCTCCCTCCCTCCCCTGTTGAAGCCGAAATGTCAAAGCAAAACATCGACAAGTCTTCAGAGACATACAATCATGATTTTCATAATTTGTTCTCAACGTAGGCAAAACAACTCATCCACAAAATTCCCCAGAAAACAAAAAGTAATTCAACTCTAAAAAAGCCGTGGTTGGCACTTATACTGCATATTTACAACTCAATGAAAATACACGAGTAGGTCTTCTAAACGATGGGAGGGGGGGGGGTTTAAAAAGATATTAATCGAATTAGGCAACTGAAAATCTCATTAGACTTCAGAGACAAATAAGTATAAAGCACTAATACTATTTGCATCTTTGTAACAACTTAATTTTCTATGTAATTGGTATACCATAAAGCGCCTAATGTATTTAAAACATTGGAGAATTTTTGGACTATTTAATTAATAGGCATTTAGGGACCACAATCAACAACATATATTTTAAGCAAGGCTCCAAAAGAATAAGGGTCTGCTTTTGAAAGGGGAATATGTAGTGATAACAAATAACATTTGTCGGTGAATATTTCACAGGAATTGTAAGCGTGACTATTTGAGAGAAAATTATCACAATGTATGTAATTAGTAAATTCTATTTTCATTCCATTCTGTCATAAATTCAGTTTACGTAAATAATATTAAAATGTCTGATCATAGATAAATATCGATAATTAATAACATTTGAACTTTTAAACTCTAGTTTAATTAACTTATATGCCGTGACTCGGTCATTTGTAAATAGCTTTCAAAAAGTGCATCACAATCAAATTGACTTTCAAACCGCCAAATCAAAGACCCCCTTCCCCCTCCACTTTTA